GTAACAAACCAACCCCATAAAATAATAATAATAACAAACAAACAAGGTCCGGAATCACCGCTTATTCCAATCTCACCTGAGGCTTCCCTTCCGTAGGCCTACCTGACAGCTGAGGCGAGAGCTGGACAGTTAGTCTCCCGTTCATGAATTTGTTTTCTAACTGATGTCGAGAAAATGTGTAGAAAACTGTATGATTATTTTCTGGTAAATACCCTTTTTCGATTTGAGTTAGTAAAATGATTAATTGAAGTGTTTAAAGTATACATTGAAAAAATGTAGTAAAATCAAGGGATATCATTATATGTAGGCTGCGTATGTGCGTGTTTGTGTGCGTGTGCGTCTGTGCGTGTGTGTTTGTGTGCTTGCGTTCGTGCGTCCGTCTAATACACAGCCGAAGAAAAAAAAATAAATTACTTCATCAAACATCATACGTGTTGCCATATCGACCACAACAATTTTTATCTCTCACTAATCAAACAGTACAATATTTCAAGAGCAATTATCATTTAAAAAATCGCGTCACTGTGTATCTGCCATCCCCATGCCAGGCTACAGTAGGTCAAGCATGCAAAAGGAAAGCAAGCAAGAGCAGGAATCGCTGGCAAGCGTCTCGAGACATCGTGAGAAGCTCACTTTCCCTCCTTCCTTCGCGCCGGTATAGGTTAAACACACATCCATTGCCATTCCTATTGTTCTGTTCTCTGGTAAGTGTTTCTTTGTCATGTATAGGTGCTTGTCCACTGATAGGTGTGGTTGTGTATGTGTGTGTGTGTGTGTGTGTGTGTGTGTGTGTGTGTGTGTGTGTGTGTGTGTGTGTGTGTGTGTGTGTGTGTGTGTGTGTGTGTGTGTGAGAGAGAGAGAGAGAGAGAGAGAGAGAGAGAGAGAGAGAGAGAGAGAGAGAGAGAGAGAGAGAGAGAGAGAGAGAGAGAGAGAGTGTGTGTGTGTGTGTGTGTGTGTGTGTGTGTTGTGTGTGTGTGTGTGTGTGTGTGTGTGTGTGTGTGTGTGTGTGTGTGTGTGGTGTGTGTGTGTGTGTGTGTGTGTGTGTGTGTGTGTGTGCATATATATAAATATACATACGCATATATACATATACGTACATATATACATATGTATATCCTATAGGAATACAGATTTATATAAATGCATGTACATATATACATATATATGTAAATAATATATATATATAATATAATATATATAATATATATATATATATATATATATATATATATATGAACATGAAAATGAAAACAGCCACAATGAGAACTGAAAATAATAAATAATAAACTGAAATGGTTTATTATATGTCTGAAAAGGAACTAGTGAAGAGTTCGAAACATTACATTTAATTTCAATTCTCATTGTGGCTGTTTTCATTTTCATATACGTACAGGTGTATATACATTATACATTTACACATAAATGAATATTTACATGAATGTGTGTGTGTGCGTGCGTGGTGTGTGTGTGTGTGTGTGTGTGTGTGTGTGTGTGTGTGTGTGTGTGTGTGTGTGTGTGTGTGTGTGTGTGTGTGTGTGTGTGGTGTGTGTGTGTGTGTGTGTGTGTGTGTGCGTGATTATGACCAGAAACAAGAGTAAGAGAGAGAGAGAGAGAGAGAGAGAGAGAGAGAGAGAGAGAGAGAGAGAGAGAGAGAGAGAGAGAGAGAGAGAGAGAGAGAGACGGATAGATAGATATTTACATTTTATAAGCACACGCATTCCCGCTCACATCAGACAGACACACACACACACACACACACACACACACACACACACACACGAAATAAGCCTACGGAAGTGGCGTGACTCTTCCTCCTTAAGGATTATCTAATTCCCCCATCAAAGGCCACATTCACCGAACTTTTCCTCTGGTCGAATATACGAATATATGAATAAACAAAAATCGTAGAACTGGAAGATAGGAAGCGAACGGATTTCTGAACTAACATACTACCTAACGTAACCTAACTTTGCCTAACCTATTCAGGGGCATAACTAGCTCCCAAAATTTAGGTAGGACTTTGCCGTTATTGGGTGCTGGTTAGAATTACGAGGCGGTTTAAGCTTGGAGGCATTTTTGAAGCTAGATGACATGCGTTTTGGACAAGGAAAGGGCAGTGTTGAGTGGCGATACTCACCGAGTATTCTATTTTTTCGTATTGTTCACATCAATTTTATTCGTGAGCACATGCCCATAAAAAAATAAAAAAGACTGAGGGCAGCATATTTTTAATACCTATCGAGTATGCAAATAAAATGAATATTTTCTTCGGCTACAATGCTTACATAACGTGAAAAAATGCCTCGCTGCTATCACGGTAATCGAGCAATCTTGTGCAATATGCTCTTTTATAAAGCGTATTATAAAATCTAAATAAACATCCGTTTAGCTTGTTTGATTAATAAAACAACGCCAAAAAACAGGATAAACAAAATCTGGACGGTTACTGTATTCAAAACTCTCAGACATCGTTGGTAAAAAAAAGCACATCTATTCGAGAATTGCGAGGGATAAAATCTGTGTTCTCCCCGCGTGCTACACACCAGCATGCTAATACTCGTAAAGCCTTTTGGGAATCTCTTTTACCCCGCTTTGCTATTAGTCATTCGAGCTGGCATGGAGAAACGCCGCGACCTCGCCGCTGCCAGGAAGCCAAAGAAGAAACCGGGTCGTGCGATTTCCATAGTCATCCTACGTAGGAGATCCTTGGGTAAAAACACTGAAGATCGTTATTCGAGCCAATCATAAAATAATCATATTCAGGCCACCAAATAATCAAGAAACTATTCTAAAAAGAATCCACGTCCACGGAGGCAAGAGTTCCTGCATCTGGAATTCCCGAGTTGAAAGCTTCGGGGTCATTCGGACGGCATTCGCTTAGCGTTGCCTCCTGCCGGGATCAAGTCATGCTGCCGAAGGACCTCGGGGAAGAAAGCCTACGTTCTTTGGGGAGGTTAGTCACGTAATGCGCATGCCGAGTAAATTTCATTGTCGATGCTCTGAACTCTGGGAATTCCCAATAAGTGGAACGCACGCGCATGGAAAGTTTTCAGTTTTCGGTATCATTGTTACCAATCGAGGTATCACTAAGGAACGTATTTTTTTACTGCTGTTATTTATATTATTATTCTTGTATGAAAGTAACTTATGCGACATATCATGTATTTCACAAGGTGAACTTCGTGTCATTAAACCTTAAGAAATGATAGCATTTGATTGCCAGCGTTTATCTACTGCTGTATATGTATCTATCTATCTATCTATCTATCTAATATATATATATATATATATATATATATATATATATATATATATATATATATATATATATATATATTTACCTATCATGCAAAATAAGATCGTGATGGAGGTTATGGTTGAGTTGGCAATGACTCAGAGACCAAATCTTGCAATTTTGATGGTAACCTGGGGTAGATGAGTAGAAGTTGGAGTAGACAAAGCGTAATAAGCTACTGGTACAGAGTGGGTATTTGAATGGGTGTAGGCGAAGGTTAAT